ATATATGAAGTTTTTGAAAGTATATGTACTTATGTGGCTTTGAGAGAAATTTGAACGCTGCCGCCGGCGGCGGCGCCGCAGTAAAAAGCATCTTAAGGCCTAGCCGTTAACGGCCCGCGTGCCATTTTGAGCAGCGCGCACGCAGCGCGCCTCTGCCGCTCGGCCTTGAAGCCGGTTCTTCTCGCTACGGCCTCGTCACAGCGAGCCTCGTGTGCCTCTGTGCGGCGTGTCACCGGATCTCCTAAATTCCTGACGCTGTGCTTCTCTCTGGTCCTCCTCTGCAGGCTTAAGAGAGTGCCGACTTGAGCAAATAGTGTGCTTGCGCACCTAAAGCTTCCCTTTCCCATTATTTTTAAATTTAAGTGTATCTAGAAATAGAGGACTTTTCTTTGATCTGTTGGAAGATTAAATTAAGCCTGTAAACCAATTAGAGTAGTTCTCTACAGTGAGTGTTTGTGCTGATAATCATTAGAATATGCATAGAAATACTTGTTTTGAAGCGCTTCCTCAGATGCGGTGCTTTCTCCCCGCCCCCTTTTTTGATAATACAATAATTGGATCGTGTCAGTTTGCCAGTCATCCACAGTGTCCTGCTTACTACCTGGTGTGCTGGGACACCATCTTAATGAATTATGCTGGGTTGGCCCTCCCAAAGGGGTGTTTTAGTCTTTAGGTTTTGCCAAGACTTTTTTTTTTCTTTTTTTAATGTATGGGAGTGTGTTTTTAGCAGTGACAGTCTTATGTCGCAGAGGCAAGAGAGCCTCCAGAACTTCTGGAGCTGGTTACCCAGTTTTAAGGGTTACCCTACCAGCAACTCACTTTCCTGGCTGTGGTGTACCAAGGTACAGTTCTGACTGAATATTCTGTATAGGGCGGTTTTATGAGCTAGCTGTAAATTGCTTCCTCAAGCCTCGCACGCTTCTGTTTAGAAAACTATGCCAAGACAGCAAGCAGTACCCAAGGTCACTTTGTCTGCTTCTTTTTAATCTTTTGTCACTTTCATGGCTCTACTTTCTGGGTCAAATTTCTAGTGGTACAGAATACTATTAGAGTTCTTGATATTATTATTATTAGCTCTTGATATTATTATTATTATTATTATTGTCTGCTCTACCACAAGGTGAATAACATACCTATTTTTGCTAAGCTTGTTTATTGTTATCCTAATGCCTAGGGGAGTGAGATAAAAAGAGTGTATTTCCTTGCAGAGACAATGCTTATGATTAGAATATATCTAAATGGTGGGCAGGTAGTGGGTGCCCTGTGAATGGATGCCTGAAGAAAAGCAATATGGAACAGTTATATACTTAAATTATTCCAATCTAGCTATTTTTTCTCAATTGTCTTAATTTTCACACCTTTCTATTTTTCTCTTGCAGATTTCCCCAATTGCCTAGTTTTTCTTTCTGATGTTTTCTCGCCCAAAGCTGTCATTTTGGCAATCCTGAGCTCAGCTGAGCTGGCTTCTCCCTCGCTGCTCTCCCTAATTTAAGAGCTTTTTGCTGTGAGAGGGCAGTGTGAAGTGTGTCCTTCCCTAGCAGTCTGGATTGGCTGTTGAGGGGGTCCTCTGGGGTCACGGATATTGAGGCACTAGTGCTAGCTACAGGTCTTAGAGTTCTCGTATGAACTCTTTCATGTCCATTCCCCAGTGTGCTGCCCTTTTTTTTTTTTTCTCTTCTTTTGCTATTGCAGCAGCAGACAAATGTATTTTCACTCAAATACCTTGCCATGTTCAGAATAAATTTTCCAAGGACACCTTTGTCCTTTGGCTTAGCTGAAGAAGCCATCTGTACAGGAAACAAAAATGGGATTTCAGTATTCTACTGTGTGAATCATTATTTTCCATGATTATATACAAAAGCTGAAAAGAGAAAAATTGATCTACATCTATATGTATATATACATGTATATATATATATATGTTTTTCTAGTGCTGATTCCTTCCTCAAGCAGATTTGGCAGTTTTGTTAAAGATGAGATGCAGACAAGCAGTGACTTCAAACGTCACTGTGACCGCTGGCCTCACTGTAGTTGCTTTTGTGGTTTTAGAATTGTGCCAGACAGGCCTAGAGACTGGCATGGACATTGTGGTCTGCTCTTTTTTTTGTTTGCTTTCTTTTTTCTTTCTTTTTTTTATAGAAATTTAGTAGAATTAATTTTAAATTAGATTTATCTACTCTAGGTTTGGAATTGGGATTCCAAGTATGAAAGTTATTTATTACAACTTAACCCCTAAAAAACAGATGTAGTCTTCTACCTGTAATTTACTACATGAACGTTGACTTCTGTACTAAGTAAAGAGATGGTGCTTCAAGATGCTTTTCCTGGCTCATATACAAGAAGTTCTTTGCAAGTAATGGAATACTTGCAGTATCTTCTGCTCTTTGTGTTTTGCTGTCCACTAAGTGTACACTGATGGAAACTGTCACTAAAAGCACCTTACCTATTGCACCCAAAGTATAATGCTTTATGAGGTTGCTGCTCCCATCAATCTGCTCAGTAAAAATAGCTCATCTTGGTAAGTTGTTTCGACTTCACCAGGACCTGAAGAAGAGGCAGAAAAACCTGTGAAAACTAAGACTGTTTCTTCCAGTAATGGAGGGGAAAGTTCGAGTCGCAGTGCAGAGAAACGAGCAGCTAATGAAGAAGCTGAAGACTTCACCACAAAGCCTGCTCCTGCCAAAATGTCCAAGTTTGGATTTTCCATAGGCAGTCAGACAACCAAGAAGGCCTCTGCAATATCCATCAAACTAGGAGCAAATGTAAGTTCTGAGAGATTTACATTTTAAGGAAATCACAGCAAAGGGGACTTTGGGGACACTTCCCTGCATAAGGAAAGCCTTGAATTAAATATGGGCAACTTGGCTCATGTTTAAGAAGGGATTACAGGGCCACCTAGTCAGGCATATGTAAGTATTTGGAGGCGGTTAATAGTAGATGAATTGTCTCAGGGTGCATAAGACTGTTGATTCAAGTTAACTGTAGGTAGCCTTTGAACATACAGGATAATTCATTAATGAAATCTGATGGACTGGAATAATTTTCCGAGGGTAATTAAAAGGCCTGTTAAACTGTTCAGGCTACTTTAAAAGAGCGCTGGGAGCTCTGTGGCATAGGATGCTTAAAGCTATGTGAATGTACCCTACCCATGTAGGATACTCCCCTACGGGGTCCCAAAGGTCATCTGCAGTAGTTTTCCAAGATCCTGATTTCCCTGGTATTGTCTCATATTTCTCTTTATTACCAAAACAGACCTCTAGAAACTCGGGCAAGGACAGTGTGGGTTCTGCCTCCTTGTTTAATGCAGTTCATTTATACCTGCTATGTACCACTCTGATGGATATGTTATAAATCCTTCTCTGGATTCATTTCAAACTGGGTCCTGAAGGACTTGCACCTGCAATACCTGTATTTTACACATCTGCAGAAGATAAGAGTGGTGTTTTTTTTTTTTTTTCCTCCAGATGGGATGGGGGTGTGGGCTGGTAGCATTTTAGGGTACAAATGCAATCAGGTCAGCTCGGACTTTGGAAACATTGACAAAGCTGTCTCCTGAGCCACAAGCAAGCTTAACTGTCTTGTGTAGAAGCTTATTTCCGGTGTCAGTACATTTGGTTCAGGATTTCTGGCTCACTGAATTCAGTGAGTGACTGACGCAGCACCAGACCTTACAGTTACATACCTCATTCTGCTTCATTTTGGTCGTTTTCCCCCTTTCCTGTGGTAAGCTTTGAAGGTGGCACAAAATTGAGGCATTGTACCCTATGCGTCAGGAATAGCCGTAGCAACCAGGATTTTGTGGTGTCAACATCCAAACTATGGATGGAGGCAAAGTAATGACCACAAAGTGAAAGGGAAGAAGTGCACTAGGTAATTTTGGGTACTGTAGAAGCAAACTGTTATTGGTAGCTTTACATTTTTTCTTAGGGGATCTGAAAATTATGTTTGATGTCTTTGTCATATTACATATAATGTTAACAGCTATGAGTTTGATAGCTTGATACATTCTAAATACAGGAAGGTACTTGCTAGGAATTAAAATAAAGGACTTTAATTAAGCCTCAGCAGTGTGGCCTATGCTGATGATAGTTAAAAAGTATTGCATTGCTTTAAGCCAGCAAGATGTTAAGCTGTTAAAAGGAGAAAAAAAAAAAAAAAAAAAAAAAAACACATATTCAGCTTCCTGAAGTTGATAGGTAAGAATAGAATGATGGGAGCAGTGAGGTAGTAAAATTTTGAATACTACAACTTATTTAGGTTCTGATTTAATTGTCATGCACTAGAAGCTGTGTATCCCTGCAGTGTGTGCTAGACATAAAAGACTTCCTTTTGGGGAAGTGTAGCATGAGAGGGTTTGACCACCTTTTCAGAATATATCTTGCACAAACGGCTGGATGTTTTCCTGACTGTTTAGCCAGAAACTTCTTTGTGTGGGTCAAACTAAAACTTTCCCCTGTCGTTACCTCACTCAGTTGCAGTGAAGATGCTTGACTCCATTTTACCAAGTTATTTAAAATACTAAGGTATTTTTTGTTTGTTTGTTTTAAGGTAGGTTGATTTACTCCTGCTTTTTGTCTTTTGCAGAAACCTAAAGAGCCTGTTCCAACCCTCGCTCCAAAAACCCTTTCCGTAGCAGCAGCTTTCAATGAAGATGAAGATGTGAGTAATGAGCTGGTGGTTGACATAGCTTTAAGTATGATTGGTGCAGGTTAGAGTTAGGCAGAGTGGGCAACCTAAGCTCCTTTACATAACTGGGCCATTAAAGTTTCTTAAGTAATTGGCAGTGACTTCCATGTTAGAAACCACTCTTGTGGTTCTCTTAAAAATGTACAATTTTGTAGGTCTGTGATGGTGCAAGAAGTCATTAAGTAGGTTGATAGGTTATGTTTGTGTTACTGCAAGTACTGCATAACAGTATGTAACTGCCAACAAGAAAAACTGCTAGATTCCTGTCCTATGCCAAATATATTTCCCAAAGGCTGTGAAATACTCTGTTTCTCTTTCAAAGTGTTTGCACTTGAGCCAGACTTTGTCAGCTCCTCCTTCTACTGAGATGTGCAAAGGAACTTGTAGTTGTTTCTTTTCATAACTTTTTAGAACCTCTGCTTCTCCTAAATCCCTTTTCTGCAGGGCAGTACTCTGTGTTTTTATCTTGAAATACTCATAGGAGTGGCAGTTACCTGTGGCCTAAACTTGTCCTCTCTTTGTAGAGTGAACCAGAAGAAATGCCCCCAGAAGCCAAGATGCGCATGAAGAACATTGGGAGGTGGGTCAGCTTGCAGCTGTGCCTGGGAGTAGCGTGAGCGCCTTCTCCGAGGCAGGGTTGAGAAAAACAGAAAGAGAAAACAGCTAGTGATCTGTCCAAGAAGATTGCAAGTCTTGCTGATTGTTGCTCAATTTCATATATTTTCGCAGTACCCATTTCATAAATTGCCCTGAAGTCAGATAGTGTGCTCAGATTCTTAAATTTCTGTACATGAGGAAGATTGAAATTACCTCTTTCAGAAAGACATAAATAGCCTGTTTGCTTTAGAAATATATATATATTAATCTTTTTGATATAGACTTGAGACAGCGTAGGCCTAAAAAAATAAAATGAAATACAACACAGACACTTTTAAAGAAGCCTTCACTTGAGTAGGGTTGATTCTGAGCATTTACTTTTTTTTTTTTTTAGGGTGTTTTTCATGACAAGCTGCTATTAAAGTTCAGCTTTTTGTTACATTTTTGCCAATAACTGATTTTGATCAGCATTTTTTTAGACCACACAACATGCACATTACAGATAGTAGCAATTCCTGCCACTTCCAGCTCTGCTGCTGCCCGATCTTGACACTCTGTCTTGATGTGCTGCAGAGAGGTCAGTTTTGTGGCCAGCTAAGACTTAGCAGTAGTGAAGACTCCCAGTGTCTCTATTGGAAAGTGGTAACTGCTTGTTCCTGACGGCAGATTTAAAGTTGTTCAGTCGTTTGAAGTTAACGAAATCTTGTTTTACTCTTCACAGGGATACACCAACCTCAGCAGGACCAAATTCCTTCAATAAAGGAAAGCATGGGTTTTCTGACAACCAGAAGCTATGGGAACGGAATATAAAATCTCATCTTGGAAATGTCCATGACCACGAAAATAACTAAATGATGTGGATTGAGACCTGGGTGTCTGGGGGGAGGGGAGGGTGTAACATTAAAGGAACAGTTTCCTTTTTTAAGAATGGTATAAGCCTTTGGAGCCGCTTTTTTAAGATTTGCGTGGTACAGTAATAACTGAGTTTGAAATTAGAGGTAATTTATGTTTTGTATACAGATTTCAAGGCATTTGCTAATTTTGTAGTTCCATGTGATTAGTTTCAAAAGGTTACAGATAATAAAGAAATTGGAGTGGTACCTTTTCAAGATTTTTTTTTTTTAATTTTTATTTTTATTCTTTTTGGTCAGCGATGATTAAGGTGGATGAAAAAGGTTACTGTCTCTTTAATCAGGTTAATGTTGAATGCTTTTGCATTCTCACTTCTGGCTCCCTCTCTGAAACAGGAGAAGCAGTTGGCCTCTGAGAATACTGTTAAAGCAAGTGAGCATTGTCTTGTGCTAGAAGTGTTACTGGACTATTAATTTGAATATAAACTTAAACAACAGAACTATTAAAAACCTGGAATTATTTTTCCCTAGAGTCATCTTTTGTTAAGCCTCTGCAGACTAGGAATTATGTTGCTCTGAGTGGCTCTGGTAACTTAGCTCTAGTTTTGTTTAAAACTTCATGTAGCGTGTGTAACATTCTGTGGCCTGTTTCACTGTAAGGAAATAGGTCTTGTCTGTATATTAGATACAGCCTGTAAGGAATATTTCACTACAAAGGTAAACATAAGCAAAATATTTTTGGTGTGTTCCTCTTAAGTCATTAGCAATGAGTAGTGCTTGTTAGCATTTCCTTGTGCATTAAATAGAGGCTAATACTAAAGGCAGTAATTATTGATATATAAAAGCCACCACCAAAAAAGATAAGATAATGTACATTAAGCTTCCCATTTGGTTGAAATATTTTTCTTTACTATGCCTAAAAAGAAATAAAAGCCACACCAAAAAAAAAAAATCAGTAACTCACTGCTTAAGTATAAAAACTCCAAGATGCACTTTCCCTGTCTTGCCGTGGAAAACAAAACACCTCGATGCCTGCGGCTTCAATGGACACTATTAAATTTGAAAGAAAGAAAGAAAGAAAGAAAGAAAAAAAAGGCATTTATAGTGCTAGTAACTCTCATAAGTGTTTTGCTGCCTTTCTGCCTTTGGCAATAAATGGCATTGGTCTGGTCAGTTTAACTTCCTGGCCTTCGTGCTGCAGAACGGTACCATAAGACTTCTGGCCTAGGAAGGGCTGCCTGGTTTTCAGCCTATCTTTGATTAAGTATTTGTAAAACAACTGATCTGGCAAAAAGTAGTTACGAAAAAAGATGGAAGAGGGGAGGAAAAAAAAAAGGTTCTCTTTACATTCAAGTACCTGATAGTGTCTACAGTTAAATTTATTTTAGTCTGGAACTGGTTGTAGAGTTTAATACATTAATTGCTTTTGTCCTGCCTTTTAATACCTTTCTTCATGCTAAGCTGAACCTGTAAGTGCAGAAAGGAAAGTGCATCTTCCAGTGTATTTTTTTTAAGAAAGCTCTTGCCACATAGATTTTTGAGTTTGTAAGTTCTGAAAAGTATTTTTTGTATTTTTGTATTGTATGTGTAATCTTTTTTCCTTTGAAGTCTGATGCAGTTGAATACCTGTAACTATTTTCTTTAAAAGCCTTGTTATAAACATAACATAAAAACGTATAGTTTTTTTTTAATTTTTTTTTTCATAGCAGAAATATTTGATTTATATCAACACTTTCAGAACTGAACTTCAAGACTTCCAAAGCTCATTTTGGTGTTGTTGGAGCCAGGCAAAGCAAAATGAAGCATCTGCTTTTCACTTATTTTTATCATGTGTGGTTATATTTGTTCAGTTACCCCTTTCAGGTAGTGGCAATTCACACCATGTAACTGTTTTATAAGGTTCTTTAGTGGTTACCTGATATCTTGTCTGTTGCTTGTGTTGAGCAAAAGCAAAAGAGACTCCAGAGTAAGAAGGATGGGGTGACTCTGCGATCTTGTCTCCTTCAGTTCACTTGCTGCTGATCCAGGCTTCCGTGTCTCTGCCTGAAATAGGCCTCATCTCAGCAAAACTCTTTTTGTGCTTCAGAATTGCAGGGGGAGCAGCTGTGCACATCAGCAGACGCCCTGGGAAATGCCTCCCTGCAGGGCAGGTAGCAGAAGTGGCACCTCTCTTTCTCACACACTAAGGAGCGTAGCCCCGGACCTTGGCAGAGGCTCCGGGAGCGCCTGGGCCTTGGCTGGGAGCAGGCCGCGATCCCGCATCTCTCGGCGTGTGAATACGGAGTTGTGTTGCAGCGCTGCGCGGGAGGACATGAACTGGGGTTGCCTCACCTCGGGGATGAGTGCTCGAGAGGCTTGGCCCTGTAGCTGCGTGGGTGCCTGCGGTTGCTCTAACATCACTGCTGTGGGGCAGAACTGCTCCGACTGACAAGTGTTGCCAGGGCACGTGAGCGCTGGCCTAAGCGTTGCTTGGAGTTAGGGGCTCCTGTTACAGCGGTCGTGGTGTTTGCGTGAAGAGTGTAGCTTCCGATAGGGGAGGCAGTTGGTTGTGTTTTCCTCTTGCTTGTGTCGCACGTGCGCAGCCTCCAAAGCACCTGACTCTTCATGCATCTGACCGCACAGCTGTCATCTTAATTTCCTCCCTTTAAAAACACAGGAGGTGCGCTGCCCGCTCCGTATTTTATCAGCATAAATCAGTAGCCCACACGCCTGTCTGCCAGGTGACCTACGGTGCTGTTTTACCTTGGGGGCGCTGCTCCCGGCTGCTCAGCAAACTTGGACCAACAGTGCTGAGCACCGTGCGCCCCTTCAGCACCTCTGTGTCTCCGTGGTGGGGAGGCGCCTGCTGAGGAAGTGGTGGCTTCTGCTTCCCCAGCACACATTGAAGACTAAACTACTGGAAATTGCCAATGGAGGTGCCATGACTGGAAACCTCTCTAAGGTTTCTTAGAGGCAAGGAAGTGATTAGGATTGGTTTGGAGGAGCCACGTTTTTCAGGAAGGCTTTGTATTTGCTTACTTCAGTAACCATAGGAGATTTCTGCGAAGATTTTCCCCGACTCCCCCTTCATACTGTAGAGATTGGAGGATGATGAGAGGTTTTGCCCTTCGGCTCCAGAAGAGAAGGTTATGTTTCAAAATGACCATAATGGTTTAGTTTTCCTTCTTATGCCAAGAAGCATTTGAATGACACAAAAATTGACAGTCTGTTATTTGCTTTTTGCTTGATTCTGTCAGCATCTCCCCAGGTTTTCCTGTTCTGTTTAGCAAATGCATCTCCTGGTCTTGCTGTTCTCTAATATTGATTGAAGAACACAAACTGGCACCTAAAAACTATAGTGTTTAATTTTCTGCATTTGCCTCAGGGATGATGAATAGTTACCATCCACATAATTAAAAAACATGACACGATTACTTGTAGCTTCCTAACTTGTTAAATTTCTCTTCATCGCCTTCTGTTTAAGAGTCCGGAGCGGTGCAAGTCCAAGCGGGAGGGTTAGTTCCGCAGCGCCCGTGTGCGCCAGGCGGGCGTCGCAGCTCGCAAACCACGCGCGAGTTTCCCCCTGTGAGGCAGTGACACACGGCGACCTCCTGAAAGCCAAACGCTTTGCTCGTCCTGTCATTTTAGTTGCTGGGTTTGGTCCTTGGGCTTGGGTTTCTGAGGAGGCAGATGCAGAGATCCTGCATTGGTTGGTGCATTAGACAGCTGCAGAGAACATCTGTTATCAAAAGTAATTGGGTCTCTTCTGAATATAATTTAGCCTTTCTCTCTCCTGACAACATGTAGAGCTTTGGGCTTAAAAACTTTGCTGCTTTTCTCTACATTTGTAAGGACAGTGATGAGCTGTGAGGAGATCTTTGTATTGTGCGTTTGCACTTTCCTTGAAGTACAAGCAAATTAGTCTAAGGTAATGCAATTCATAATTACATTGTTATCTCTCTTCTCCCCAGCTTTCCATGCTTTGTAAACAGAGATGTTGCATTTGGAGGGTCAGTTGATGTTCAGGAGAGTGTCATAAAGTGTTAATTTTCCTCTTGGCTTTAGCGAGGTGCAACCCTGGGAAAGTCTCTATCCACCCAGACGGCGCTCACATAGATTTGCAAGTGGTTGTAGCTGACAACAGCAGCCTCCCATGTTAAGAGTAATAGTGAAACTAGAGTAGGTAGCTTTAGGATGTTTTTTGTTGTTGTTGTTAGGGTTGGTTTTGGTATCACTCGGGTGTTTGTTTCAAACTGCCATCTTAACATGTCAGATTCCTGCCCGTGATGGCAGGAGCTTGGGTGGCTGCGCAGCTGAGAGCCGGGGCTATGTTAATGCTGGCACTACCTGCCCTAAGGCAGGGTGCTCGGACAAGCCAGGCAAAAACCCCAGTAGGCTCAGCTCAAACTGAGCCCAAGACTAAGAGGACAGCTGCAGTTTCTGAAAAGTCTCTTAGCTGAGGAATAAAAACTGAACATGGACATGGACAAGTCCCTCTGAAGAGATATGTGCTGGGGTCTCCAGCCTTGTATTTGGCAGCTCTAACACCAGCTCTCTCATGGGCACTATCATCCATCTGAGGGCATGAGGCACTTCTTCTCCATTTAACAGGAGGCAGAAGGTGGTGCTGCCCCTGTGAGAGCAGAGGCTGGGCAAAGAAGGAGGGGACAAAACCCACAGTATCATTTTGTGCCGTCTCTCACCTATAGTTGCACTTGCTGCGCCACAGGTAGGGGCAGGAGCCTCAGAAGGGGCCGTGAGAGGCCCCTCCAGCCCTTGCTCGTGCAGCCCAGAGCAGCAGCCCAGGGCCCTCCAGGGTAGCGCTGCTCTGCCAGCTCAGCTGAGAGCAGCGGTGCTTGCCTTGTCCCAGGCAAGGTAACTGCTTCAGCCTTAAACAGAGGAGAAAGTAGTACTAGGGGTACTCGGGAATAAAGGTCTGTAACATTCCTTTTCTCCTAGAAAAGGAAACAAAACACAAATTTGCTCAAGAGTAATTCATGGCAAAGCTCATTTTATTTAGTGACAGAAATGACTGTAACTTTATACAACTAACACTAAATAAAAACAGCTGAATGTACAGATCAACTTCATTATGTACAGGAGTTCGCTAGGCATACTTTATAAGTGGATACTTTCCATGTGCTTTATTTAACAAAAATCAAATAATATTAACTGCCTGTTTGCAGTCTGGCTCCAACAAGGTTACCGAAGGGGTAGGAGCCTCTCAAATTAACAGGTTAAGAACCTTAAGGCAACATTCGAGGTGCAGGAAGAGGAAGGCCAAGACTGAGCTACTCCCTCCTTACCTGAGGCCATGGCAGAGAGAAGGTGCCGTCCATCTGAAACGGAGCGTCAAAGCCTCCGGCTTTGGGATTCCTGCCAGAATTTTTGTGTGAAACCACCTTTTGGGTTGCTTATTTTATTTTTCTCTCCAAGGGTAAGCCATAAAGTCAGGAATAGCATTTATACAGGAGGTAACAAAGCTTTCAGATTTACTTTCTCCTTTTTCTTCCTTACATTGGGCAAATAAATAAATGCACCAAGGACTAAATTAAGGTGCTGATAATAGTTTTCCAAGATTACACATTAAATATACAAATAATGTTCTAACACTATTTACAGCTATTTTTATTAAACATTTCCTCACTTCAGTAATACACAATTATTAGTAAGATACAAATATCAGAGTAAAATTTAAGGTTTATGTAGCAGTTCATTAAATCTTTTCCCATCATAATGGCAGTAAGAACTGTTAATTTTACCTATAGTTTTTAAGCTTAAGCATGATGGCTATCTCCAGATATTTGTCTATAAAAAGCATTTCTCAAGAATTACAGCTAGCAGTCTTTCTTTTTCAAGTATTGATTTTATTTTTGTTCCATTTGGTAGTAAGAAAAGACCGCAGTCGTGAAGAGCTGCAGAATGTTTAAATAGTGACCCTGCTTCTCTGTGAAAGGACTCTGACCTCTGAAAAGGTTGTCCACACATTAATGCAGCCCCAAGGCAGGAGCTCAAACTACCTATTGCTCATTTAAAAAAAAAAATACAACTGCTTATCTACATACTTACAAAATATAAAGAGAACTGTCCATTGGGTAGCTTGGAAGGCAGAAAATAAGTCAAGCCAGATGAAAGGTAGAAATATTAATTCAGGGCAGCTGGTTGCCCTGTCCTGGATTTGTTTCACAGATAGGGCACGGCTAGTTGCACGTGACTATTTACAGTGTTTGCCCTGAAGATCACAGGCCTCTCGCTGCAGTCCGAGGTGGAAAGCAGTCGATAACACTATCGAGACCAAGAACAGCCAAGGGCCACGCGGGGGCCTGTTCACAGGGCCAGTGCATGACGTTATCTCCTGCTGTGCACGGTTCCTGCTTCACACAAACACGCCCCCACCTCAACACACCAAAGCGTGCACATGTCGTGCTATTACAGCTTAGGCATTTGAGCTGGGGTCAAACACGGGATTTACGCTGACCAGGAGGAAAAGCAGGAGGAGTTTTTCCATCAGCAAATACGGAGAGTGACACACCAGGTAACTACTGTGCCTCGAAAGCGTTGTTACACTTGCAGGAACTGGCAAAAAGCTCCAGCTGACCTAATTTGAAGAAAAATCTCATTTTTACCTTATATTAAGATTTTCATAGTTCTCTATCCTGATGCCTGTCCTATTTGATACTTCCTAGAACTCCTCTGCTCTCTTTCAACAAGATACAATATAATAAATTAGGATCTGATCATAGCTAATTGGATATATTCAATACATTCATCTTGAAATATAGACATATATAAAAATGAACTGTTACCTTCTTCAATTGAAAGCTTCAACATTAAATTGAAAGCAAAATTAGATGAAATCCTTACCAATAATGAGGAGTTCACTTACATAAGTGGTTTCCCTGCAAGGAGGCCTTCAGTGGCCTGAAGCTCACAGTCTGGCTCAGACTGGAGGAGACCTTCGCCTATCCCACCTTTCTTACCAGGCTTTGCTCAACCTGCCACTGCCTGGCCTGGAATTCCCAGGCGTTCTAGGAAACTAGGACGCACTACCAGTGTGTGGTGCATCTACCCAAGGCAAAAGCCTCCCATTTTCTGGGGTTTGGGGAAGTGCTCGCTGCTTGAAGTGCTACGCTGCCTTGAGGGAGTAAGAGGACACAATCCAACACTGCATTTGCTCACAGATTTGATGAAACGCACATGAAAACAAAAGTTAAAAAACTGCTCACAGGAACTGTGCATTTCTAGTCATTTAGTGCAGTCTCTTTATACATTTTATTTTTAATTTACAGCATGATACTTACTCCATGACACAGGAAATACTATTTTTCAAATATATATTTAACTAGTCAGTTATGGCCAGTGCAGAAATCCTAATCTTCAAGAAAAGTCTTGGTCCACACTGAAGCACGTTAATCTTTTTCCCTGCAATTCACAACGCACTGCTTCGTAACCAAGAAATTCAGCACGGGGGATCAGCTGTTTGAAACCTGCCATCACTGCAGGCCTGATATCTGCAGTTACGACACGTAACGAGCCCCGTATTAAGACCTCGCTCATCTTGCCCTCCCTCACGCGCTGCTCTTACTCTGTGTCGGCAACGTGGGCCACTTCTACCTCCACGGTTTCAATGGCTTGCGTAACCTCAGCCATTTTCTGCCCCTGCTGCTGCGCCAGCACATAGTTCACCACCTGCATGATGCTGTGGTCGGACAGAGTGGACACGGACGTGCACTCCTCCGTGGCCGCGACCGCTTCGATGGCTTCGAGCGTCTCGCCCGTTACTACCACGGTCTCGACCTCCTCGCCGCCCGCGCCGAGCTCGGCTTCTTGCTCCTGCACGTCTGCCGCCAGGATGCTGACGGCGTGTTCCACCTGCGTGCCCTGGTTGTGGAACTGCAGCGTGTCCTTCTCCAGCATGATCTTGCAGGGCACGTAGTCCCGGTGGAACTTGGTCATGTGCTTCCGCAGCGTGCGGGCGTCGATGTAGGCCTCGTTGCACACGGGGCACACGTAGGGCCGCTCGCCGGTGTGCGTCCTCACGTGGCGCTTCAGCGAGCGCGCGTCGGCCCACGCCACCCCGCACGTGAGGCACTCGAACGGCTTCACACCTGCTCCCGTGGGCGAGACAAGCACAAGAGCCGTCAGCGGCGAGGCCGAGCGCCAGCAGAGACAGCAGGAACACAGAAACGTTACCGCTTTCTCATGCAAGAGGAAGAGCTGCCACTGTAGCACCACAGTACAATGCTAGCACTATACATTAAGTGCATAATACCTTTTCCCCCAAGTGCTCTGCCCAGTCTAACTTGTTTCCTTTCCATGATTTTTCTCTGCCAAACTCCTTTTCATTTCACAGTCTCTCACCTATTTTAAGTACATACAAGTTGACAAAATTCCTTTGGCTTTTTGTTTGTTATGCCTTTCTGAAACATGTTTTGCTTAGTAGTATTTGTCATTTACCTTCCTCATCACACTGTTTCTGTAAATCTTTGTATCCATCTCCTATCGCTTATTCCTTTCTTATAGCTGCAATGCCATTCAGAGCCTTTTCCTCCTTCGTCTATACCACATGTGTTTAAATACCACATATTTATTTAATTCTACGCTCCCTTGTAGCATTTGAAGAGCTCTGAGAGTACCTGATAATTAATGGGGGGTGGCAGTGGCAACAAGCACTATTTCAATACTGCCATTCGTTAATACTTGCTAGGCGTAGGTGTCCATTAGAGGAACTTTCTATTTAAGAAAACAAACACACAAACAAATCTCTCTTTCAGTAGTTAGAAAAGTAATCAGATTTACTCCTAATAGGTGTTTAAAAAGAGACATGCTTGGGAGAAGTGCTTTTTTGTCCCAAGAAAGAAGTTCATATACCCTTGCAACGCATCTGGAAATGTTCAAATACAGTGTCCTAACTTCACAGCTAGAGATGCACACACCTATACATTTTTGCATTCTAACACATTTTCACATCTTCCCCAAACATCATTCAGTTTGCTGCTTGTTGTAAAGGAAAAAGCTGACAAATCTCCAGGCAGTGATCCTTATTTCTGAGTCAATCACTCTTTCGTTTGAGGAGTATTTTGTCAGCCTTCTAAACTGGCGAGTGTTTTACTACACACAGTGCTTTGCTAGATACATATATTTTTATTGTGCCCATATAAGTTCCGAAAAAGAGAGATTCTTCCACTTAAGTATGAGGAAGGACAGACTTTTCCCCCTGCGGATGCCCGCAGTTTTAGAAAGATCCCAATAGTCATTCCTGGAAGTCACTGGAAGCACAATCAACACAGCAAGACCAGCATAAAACTGTAACTAGAGAATCTGGAGGAATTCCCTGCGGTTTGCACAACAGGATAGATGTAGAGGCAAAGGAAAACCCACAAACCCCTGGTGCTTTTAAGGGGACGTCCTGACCGCCTGCTTGCTACGTACCTTCGTGGTTGTTCATGTGTCTCCTGTATTCCCGGAGCTGGGTGAATTTTCTTCCACAATGCTCACAAACTCGTTCCAGGTTTTGCTTGGCTCTTCCTTTTTTACCATGCGTGGCCTTCTTCACGTGTCTTCTGTACAAAGCTTTCTCATAAAATTCTTTGCCACATATATTGCACCTACAACGTGTTAAATGACAAACCTATCTGAAACCATAATGCTATGTTTGCTTTGCCATTTTTAAACCAAAAAACATTTTAAGTAGGTAAAGTGTAATGGGAATGCAGTTTCTTTAAGTAAAGATATTTGACACTGGCTCGCATGACAAATAGCTCCACAATTAGAAATAATATTGTTGGGCTGCAAGAGCCATGTTCTGTCTTCTTCACAGCTACAAAAAGCTCCCGCTTGCCATTCTACAGCAGTGAGCTCACACAGCATTTCTAATTTTACCAGTTATATTTATCCCCTTAGCATCCTCATAGGCATTACTGCCAAAACGTGCCAGCAGGCTACCAGTTTTGACCACACTCTCTGAATTGTCCACCCAGCATCAAGTAGCCAGGACCTCAGTCAAGGACAGTCAACTGGTGCTTTAACTGTATATTTCTCCAGGCAGCTCCTTGCTGGGCAGAGCTGGATCCGCATGCAGCACCTCTCAGCTGCTAAGCGAGCTCCCCCTTACCTGTAAGGGTCCGTGACAGAGTGAGACTTCACATGAGAATACCAGTCCTTCTTCCAACTGTAGCATTTCCCGCAGAACTGGCACTGGAAGGGCTTCACACCCAAATGTTTGTTCATGTGCTGCCGAAGATCTCGAGCTTCGTAGAAACTCTTCTCACACCTGTAAGAGTAAGGGTTGCAGCATCTCACATGAGAAGAGCAAAGATCTTTGGGGCCAGCAGCTTATCTGAAGGTATGGCATGTAACTTGAGGACCTCCAATCATTTTTGTTTTGTCTTCTATAGATAATTTACATGAACTTATGAGGGCATAAACAGCTGGGTTTTTTTTCCCCATAACCACAGAGTATTAAATACCAATACAAAGATAACAGCAATTTGTAGTTTGTAACACTCAAGTGGTGTTTCCTAGAAATTAAAACACAAATTCAAGATCCTAAAAGAAAGCACCTGAAAGTAAGATAATGCATCCTTTACCTTAGGCAAATTCCTAAAGTTTTCCTTTACTTATGCCTTGTCATGGTACAATCACATAAAACCCCACTTTGTATGAAAACTACAGAGGTGGGTCTGCTCCAGAGCATGCTTGCTGCTCTCTGAGGGCAGAACATGCTACTTCCGAGACAGCATTGCCTGATCACCAGCTTCTCTTCCTCATGTAGCCCCACTGTGGTGGGGTTGCCTTCTCCAGCTGATCAACACCTTGGGCTGGGGCAATATTCCTCATATGGGCTCTCAGAGATCCCAGGAGATTAAATCCCAGGGCACTCCTAACACACTACTAATTTAATCTTGCACCAACTTCTCTGAATTTTAGTCCAGCTGCATTTCAGGAAAAGACCTCATGTACAGCCTTGCTGAACTGACTCAGAAACTCAAAATCAAGTCTGGCTGGGAGCTTTACAAACCAAGCCAGTTAGCTAGAAAACTGAAGTCTGCTGACACCTCAGTGAAGCTGTTGCTCAGGTGAAGCTGTCAAAACTTGTGACAACATGAATTGTATTGCCTTTCCTAAAGTTTTCTTAACCAGTTCTGGCCCTATTGGCCTCTCATCAACTGCATTTTGTTTTTAAATGAGATCTCTTTTATCATCATTACAAGGCACTAAATAAAAACATTGCAGATAAAACTGAAGTGCACTTTCTAAAGTTAAAAATACTGCTTATACTAACACATAGTAGCACTACTACAGATGATTGAAAAATCCTTCAGAAGTGTTTTTTCATGAGTACTCTAAGCTGTGTACAGTCCATCAAACAAACTGGAGAACCCCATTTAATACCAGAAAGAATACTGGCAGTTTGGAAATGTTAATTAACTTTTAGAAGGTTAATTGAAAGGTTCTCTGTATAATCTGCTTGGTCATGGGGAAATTATCAATGACTTCTTAGCACCCAAAGAGATGCACTCTTTCAATTGCAGTGTTTCTGTTAAACCACATTCAGAAATACAAAGATATTTGTATGTAAATTCTATAATCTAGCAACAGCCAGTGAGTTAGTTTATGATGTTTCTGCAGAGCTGTTTGCTAAACACAGTGCACACTGCAGGGCATAAAGGCGCATTATGTTGTAGATTGCCTAGGAAATTTTCATATGTAGCTGAAATTAACTCTCACAGTAAATGAGGACAAGAACAGGCAGAAAGTTCCTCCCCTCAGAGGAGCTCATCACTCTGTCCTACATAGGAGCTTTAAAGCTGTATGTAGTTATTGATCCCAGCTGCAAGTGCAAACACACTCAATTAAGAGATAATGATATGAAAAGCAGAATTGGTAACAATTAAAAATTAAGCTTTTCTGCTGCAATGCACGAATTAAAATAGTGCATTTTTTGGTTTAATGCTTTTAAAGTTTTATTCCAGACTAGTGAACAGCTTTGCACTACAGCAACAAGCTCTTTTTAAGAGACAATGTTGAAAACGAAAGCAAAACATCAAACTCACTGAGTGCATTGATAACCACGAACTTCAGGCTTTGGCTGATGTTTCTTTATGTGCTTACTGAGTCCTGATGCTCTGTGGAAAGATTTTCCACAGATGGAGCAGAGATACTTGGATTCTCCTGGCAAAACAAAACAGCATGCATTACAAAGCCAGGCCCCCATTCCTCTGGAATGTTTTGTGCAAGTATTTTCCTATCACATAATTTATCCAAAGTAGACAGAGCAGTGCTACAAAGAACAGTAAACTTAATTACACACAGCTGAAAGTTTGAAGTGTGTTTTGTACGTACCAATGTACATGGAATACATGGAAGGCAAAGCAATTATTCTAAATGACTTTATTAAATGTTTCTAAACATAGGGCACAATATCATAACTACTAATTAGTCATGAAAAAAAATCAGTAGGCTAGGAAACTGCCATCTAGCATAAAAAAAGACTTGTCTGTACTGATATAACATGGAGTTCCTCCAGCAATGCAGCATTATCTGTGAATGATTTGGGCCTTGAATTCATGGAACAGCTTGTTAAAAGAAAAATTTTCAGCTCCAACCCATTAATTTAGGAGTGTTGAATACTCATAAATTCTTCCACTTCTGGAACAAATTCTGTTAAGAAAAAGCATCTCTTGTTTTTGATTCTGCCCAAATCGGGAAACAAGAAACACGAATAACTTCTGCATATTATGAAATATTTTAAAATGCTGTTTGTATTAAATTATTATTTAATAATTATTAGATAATTATTTATTTATTTAATAATTATTAAATTATTATTAAATTATTATATTGTCATCTTTTACATTCTAAGTTGACTCAGGATAGCAGCTTTTCTAAAATTTGACTCTTCTGTATAAAACAAGTTTTATACAAGTCCTGTATTTCTGAATTAAAAGAACAGATTTCATATGCCGTCTTATCATGAGAGTTTCAAAGAAATATGATGATTCACTACTCCTTTGACATTAAGAGAGCTGTCAATGAAAACTCTTACAGTGTCCAGATGAGAACAGAATGTACTTAGAAGCTTAAGAGGACATCTCCCAGTGATATTCAGAAATAGGAAGAAAAAACAAAGTACGCTTCTTGCCATTAAAAAAAACCCACAACTCTTATTCAAATAATTTGGAACAGCTACGTAGTTATAACCTAGTTTTCTCATTTTTACAAACACTTCTATTACAGCAAGTCTTACAAAAGATGAGGAGATTCTTAAATCTCTAACTTGGAAAGTTTTCCTCCAAAAGGATAAGCTCTAACTCTAGATGTTCTGGGCCATTCCAGCCTGTTGCCTTGTCTTTGGTAGGCTGACAAGATATAGGCATACATCAACACACAGCAATGCACTACCCATGTTCACCCCATGTTCTTGTGCAGAATATTTAAATACAACCCTAAGCTATGGTAAAACAAGCCCCAAAAGAAACATAAAATGCCTTCTTACACCTTTCTCAAATATTTGGCCAAAAGGAGAGAAAAGAGTAACTACTTCTTAGTTCCTTTGAGACCAAAGGACAATGTTGAAGATTAACCAACGTACAAAAGCAGCCCAAGGCAAAAGGTTCTTCCTTCTCATCACGTACCTGTATGAATGCTCATATGTTCCTGAAGACTTCTTTTTGTGACAAAGGACTTTTCACACAAGTCACACTGGAACTGTTTCTGTACTTCGTGGAGAGCTAAGTGCATTTTTAGTCCATGCTTATACGTAAACGTTTTTCCACAAACCTAAAAATTCCAAATCCAGTGGCATAAGACAAACAAAACCCAGTATGTAGCAGGTTTTCAAAGCAAAAGTGCTAGTTTTAACTCTAAAGATCACACACGCCACTATTTCCTGGAAACCTGGATGATGAAGCCTGTGAATCTCACTAATGGTGGAACTGGCCTACTAAAAAATTATGCTAAAGACATTTTAAGGATGTAGGGGTACTAATTTCCTAACTCAAGCTCACTCTAGTTCTTTCCCAGAAATGGACTATAAGAACCACCAGAAACACCACAGTAACTTTCCACATTCTGAACTGGCCTAAACTAACCTAAAATTTTAGACAAAGAGAAACTACCAGAACATCGGAGTACCAGGAAAACATTGATATTTTTGATAACAAAATAAAAGATTCCTCCTTACCTTGCACGCGTGTGGTTTTACACCTGTATGCTTGAGCATATGTATCCTGAGGGAATAGAGCTTAGGCAGAGTTCTCCCACAAATGTCACATATAAACTCCCGTTTGACTCGCCCTTTCACGGAGGAGGCACCGCTCTCCTCTTCCCCAGCAGCTGCAGTGCTGGCCTCAGTCTTCCGCGTGTGGCGGACGAGGTGGGCTCGCAGAGAGGCCCCGTACTGGAATTCCTTTTTACACAGCTGGGAAAGGAAATACAGGACTTTAGTCTTTAATACTTCAAAGTTATGTCAAGAAGTGTAACTAAAGGTTTTAAGGGTAGTAGTATCATCACCTAAGTCCGTCACCTGACTCCAACAGGCATTATATATTGGGTTAATTACTAAGTGTTTAATGTTTTAGAATGCTCAGAAAGACAAAGACTGACAGACAAAAAACTTACTGGGCATTTATAATCTTTAGTTCTTTCATGTTTCAGTGTGTGCATTATAAGTGCATAGCGCCGCTGGAAGACCATTCCACACTCGGAGCATTTGTGCTGCGCTTCTAATTCATTATTTTCCGTGGTCTCTCTTTTGGGTTGTTTCATTTTTTTCCCTCTTTGTACCAGTTTCATGGCTACCTAAGTTGGAAAAAGAAACACTTGGATTAATTTTATCATCAACTTTACCTAAACCGACATTTTTCCCCTTGAGTGGCCACTATTCCTTCCCCACCCTAGGGTCAGGCTTACAAACCACAAACAGCAGGAACTGTCCGAGAAAGTAAGATAACCTTCTGATCACAAAGAGAACAAAACCTGCCATACTCTGGCCATCCTAAATAGGGTGCTCAGATATTTTGATTGTATCAAAGTATTTGGATGCCTGGGCTCCTGCTGCCACCCGTAAAAGGAGACTAACGCTATAACCTCGATATACAAGGGAGTTATAAAGATAGCACATCAAGCATTGAGCGTAGAACCGGTCGTTCTAGTGTGAAAATGAGGTCTCACAAAACACCGCTAGAAATTAGCAATTCTAGAAATTAACAGCAAGATTTTAAAGCGCCAAGTGAGCGCTGTGCCAAGAACAAACCAACTCCTGCTCAATGCAGTAAATATCACCTACTACTAAGCAACAACAAAGACAAGACTCTCAAAGGGGGAAGAGTAAGAAAGGGGGTTCATAATACAAATATTAAAACTGGTTAAGTACTAAACATTTGCCATTCCTGAGTGCTTGACTTTAAAATGTCAGTGCTCTTGAAACTTTTTTTTTTCCCTTTAGACAAACTGACCCCAACCTTAGCGCAGCATAACTGGATTACTGTGGCTTATGGCTACAAGAGAAGAATAGCCTCAACAAGTATAGGACCTCATTTCTGTAATGAGCAAAAATATTTATGTATTTGCCTATTATCAATATAGTCACATATCAGCTAAGAATTAAATTTCCAAATGGTATAAGTTTTAGGAAGCAAATACACCTCTGTTTTACCATAAAAATCCAGAAAAAAAGATACACAAACTAAGTTAACTATACTGAGTTTTATGGAGAACTCCAAGCTTGAAGAAATTTTGTTGTGAATTTATTTTACGTAACTGTCATATGTTAGAATTTACTTTGATTTTCAGTAATGCTGATTTCTCACAAAAGGAAAAAATTAAAAAAAGCCAGACCTTGTGTGGAAACAGAAAATCGTCTTTTCAGATCGGTCTGGCAACATGGGACAATTTAGCTGAGAACAGGCCTAAACAGATAGGAGATACCTGCTGATTTTCCTTCTTGCTTTGCAGTTTTTTCTCAATTCCTTTATGCAACCTGATATATCCACCCTCGCTGACAGACCGCTGGCGAAGCTTGCTTTTGTAGGTGTCATCTTGGCTGGAAGCTTCGCTTTCCGGCTGTGAAACAGCAACACTCTGCTCTTGGCCGGGCCTGCTCTGCTTTTGCTCAAGTGCTTCGGTGGGGTCCTCGGAAGCGCTCTCTGCACCTCCTGCGCCGCCTTCCTTCTGATCTGCCTCGGCTTTCGCCCGTCCCTGCGTGTCCGTGGCTTCCACAAGCGACGGCTCAGCCTGCACAACTGGCACGGGGCTGTGCGAGGCGCGCTCTACCGGCTCTGTTTTGACGTGAGCTCCAGTTGTGTCACGGTGCTCCGTGGGCTCTAAGAGGTCACCCGTGGTGGCCTCTGCAGGCTCTGGGGGAGAGGGATCCACCTGAAGTGCTGCCTCCTCCTCCAGCTCGGCAGCCGAGGCAGCACCATTGACCACTGCGACCGTCAGCACCGCTGGCATCGGCTGCTCTGCACCCTCCACGGGCTGCATCTCAACCTCGGGCTGCCCTGCTAGGTTTTGTATCGACTCCACTGTATGGATGTCTCCCTTTTGGTACACAGTGATTTGTTTCTCCTCCATCTGCTTGTGCACATGTTCACAGATTTCTAGGACCTCTGTCATGAAGAGGTGTCGGGCCAGCATGGCCACTTCTGCCATACTGCAGAAGTCAAAAGTTAATTCTGAAGTATAAGCGAATTCCAATAGAGGGAGAAAACTTGACTTGCAAAACCCTGCCATGAACAAAACAAGGGATTAGAGCAAATACAGATGACCTCAAATGATAAGAAAATATCCCAATCCAGGCACAACAGTTCACCTTTGATATGGCTAGGTCTGAAATTTAGGGTGAAATACACTTGCAAATAGCAGTGTCTTCACTGTACTGGGTCTCAACTAATTATCATTTATACAAAAGCACCCTCCTGCTCTATTTCTTTTTACACTGAGTCAAGCCCAGACAACCTTTTGAATATTTTCACACCTGAATTCTCTGGGAGATTGTTCTAAGATGCTAGGAGGGCCACAATATTCTTGAAGCAGGTTAACCCTAATTTAATTGATATCTTTTGAACTTTTGCAAAAAGCAGTGAAGACTCAAATAATAACTGATGTGGCAGAGAGAAAAGACAATAAAGTGGTTAGTGGAAAAAAAAAAACACATATAGATACAAAAGCTTAAAAATAAACACAAGGTGTAATTTTACAGAAGTTCACACTTAATTTGGGGGAACTTCTTAAGCACCAGAAATCCATTGCTCATGTCAAGCAAAGACAGACCCAGGTAGGGAACCAGTGAGAAAGCAAAGAAAAAGACATATCTACAATACTCTCCATCGCTAGAGAGATATTCTGGGAACATTCATTTTAAGAGTGTTTCCTATCTTTAAGGTACCAGAAGGGTTGAGAAAAGAACAGAAATATCTGTATATTAAAAAATATTTGTATACTAAAACACAGTAATGATCTACAGAGATAGGATACAAACAGGTATGTGCTCAGCAAAAAAGCTCTTAAAGAAGGGATATTCATTAGCTTCTCTATTTATTTTAGCATTTCATTATGTTCCTTGTTTTTTGATGTCTGGGACTAATACAAGGAGAGCACATAAACAAGCTAAAAAGGAAAAAGGTTTCTGGAAATTAAGAGATGAAATCCCATAGTCTGTTCAATATGGGAGATCGGATTATGCAAAACCAGAGTGATGACCATTTCAGCATTAAAATCAACACAAAATACTTCTGGATTAAAAGGAGGAAAAAAAAAAAAAAAAAGACAAGCGTTTGATCTTGAACACACAAAAGAAACTGTTTCAAATGCTGTAAACTTTACTTAGGATATTACAGTTGCTGTCTTTGGAACCCACAACTCACCTGACAGATCCACTACAGCTTCATGACTAGAGACAGCTCCCTTCTCGATGAAGAGCTCTCGGAAGTACTCGCTGTTGGCTGCCAAGACAGCTTTGTGCGCTCTGTACTCCTCTCCTTCAATGAGCAGAGTCACATCACAGAACTGATTGGAAAGCCTCTGCTGATTCAGCTGGTTTAGCACTGACAGACAGTGTTTGGAAGAGGACTGCTTCACAAGGCCCTTACTGTCAACCTGTCACAAACAGTATGATGAAAACTTCATTACATTTAGACTGTACATTTTTAAGCATTTACGCAGAAACGAGGAAAAGCATCAGTTTCTGCAACCACACAGTTAGTTCAAGTCAATTTAATAAAGTGGCTATTTTTACTGTTGCTCTCTTTTCTATAAATGTTTCAAGTCTGTCCCACCCTCCCAACATACAGTTAAGACATTTGAATGCATTTTTCAGTGCTGCTCCCTGAAAAAAAAAAATAGAAGTCTATACACACTCCTCAAAAATTGATTGTATAAGTACAGGCATTATTTATTAAAGAACAGAGAGCGATTCCATGAGAATCCTGTATACGATGTATTACTACAAAATTTTTAATTCATTTTCCCTTGGGTACTATTTGTACAAATAAAGGGGAGTGTAATTTTTGACATGCTCATATATACCAATCGCCTGTTTCTGCATACCGGATATATTTGGCAAAATTTACGCCCTCTTCTTACTGCCAGATTATCACAAGAATAAGTATGTGATAAGGAAAATATGTAGGTAACTAAAACAGTGTTAACAAATGTCTTAAAACACATTCAGATATAAACAATGTCACTTACAAATACGAGCTCATGTTTTGCTATTGGCTTCTTCTTTGCAGACTTTGGGAATTCAGCTGTGATTGATGTTGTATTACTCAATTCCTCATCCGTTTCATTACTGTCTTCATGCGATTTTGCATCTAGTCCTAGTTCCTCTAGCATTTCAGAGGGGTCTGATAGAGATCTAGAACGATCTAGTTTTTCCTGGCACTTGCTGCATTCTTTAATGTAATCTTTGACTTGCTTAAGAATACCTAATAAAAAAAAATGAATGGAGCTTAATTAGGCTTCTGTTTTTCATTCAATTTAAAGATGTAATTATGTAATTGATTATCAAAACACATTACAAATTTATTAAGAAAAATAAAGCAAATCATCTACACTTCCTTCTTCTGCCTTCTTTTTATTAGTCCAGCCTCTCTATCATTCTCTTGCATGTGAATGCCATTACTGTAATCCACAGTTATTTTAGGATGTACACATTTAAGATTACTAGTTAAAGTAAACAATCATAGAAAGGTTCTGAGAATATTAAAGAAAAAAATCGTATTTACATGCAAACTGTAATATCTTGCATTTAGCTCCAGAAGTAGATCTCAGAGGTCATCCTCACTGACAAGGACAGGAATTGGGAAGCTCACGTAAAGGAAGTTGCAAAATTGCAACCATGTTATACACAGTGACGCTCACAGCCACTGCTAACAACATTCAAGTCAACTGCTTGTGATTTGGACCCATTGAGGGAGGGCAACTGGGCAAGGCTGCTGTCCACTTGTGGCACAAGGGGATTGTCATGACAGGCGAAACCAGAGCTCCCAAGGAGACATGGCAGAGAAACGAGACAGTTAAAGGATGACGGTAGATGCTGGAGCAGCCTAATACTAACCAGGCAATGAGAGCCCAGCTGGAGGCCAGGAGAACATATGCTAAACGATGTGCACCAAACCCTTTTACACACACACACAGTTCTTCAAAGCAATGACATCTGTCCTGGAAGAATGGACTGCAGCTGGAGCAAACCCACTAAATTTTAGGATAGGGAAAACTAAAGCTAAAATGACAGATTTGCTGACTGGTGGCCAGAAAAAAAAAAAAAAAAAAGCAGAAGGGGGGAAACAGTATCTACAGAAAACAGTCCCCAGGCAACTGAAAAGTGAGGAGTTTGTTTACTGGCTACATAATCCTAAAGGCTGAAGACCTCATCCAAAGGGAACACAGGTACGAAGCTACTGGCTCATCTAGGGAAGGCCAGGAATGGGGAACACTGATGCTGAATTCACTCCTGTTTCTAAGGGCTGCAGAATCTCTCAGGCCCCAGCAGGGGATCAGCCCTGTACTTCCAGCTCCTTGTTGGAGGAAAGGGAAAGGCATAAGGAGGAGGGCAAAGTGCATGGAATAGATCTGCTAGTTATATGGATAAAAAAACCTATGAGTTGGCCAGGGACAGAAAAAAAAAAAAAAAAAGGTGTTACCAGGTTAAAGGTTGGAACAGATCACGTGGCATGAATGCCTGCTCCACACAAAACATAAAGAGTTGAGAAATCTCTGCCCTAAGTGGTCTGTGCTGGGGTCAGGGCTGTGTTCCCACACACTCAGGAACCAAAAGCTGATTTAAGAAGCCACAAGAAAACGCACCGACAAACGAGCGACAAGCAGAGCAGGGCCTATGCCTGAACAACCGGCGATGAGTGCAAGGGATGGAAGGCTTAAAGCCAGTTTTCCCTTCCCTCAGCAGGTGATGAGCTGAAACGAAAGCTCTTCGGCGCACGGCAGGACACCATTCAGGCTCCCCACGGGCTCCTTCCCGGCCTCTCCGCGAATTTTCGCTTCCCCCAAAAGTAGAGAGGGGCTTGAACCTGCCCCTCGGGGACAGCGCCGCTGCCCTCACAGCCCAGGACCGCCACGCGGCTGCGCAAAAATAAATGAACGAGTGAAAAGGGGAAGAACGAAAGGCGAGGAGGAAGGAAAAGTAAGGAAGGGAAGAAAGACGAGAGGAGACAAAAAG